CAAGTGCTGGGCTGTATATGTTTGCTTCACCCACTTTTACATTCTCTATGCATCTTCAACGGTCAGAAATAGGTGACATATTACTTTCTCTTTCAGGATATATGGGGGAGGGTAACAGACATAATTCACATAAGTGCTGGGTTGTATATGTATGCTTCACCCACTTTTACATTCTCTATGCATCTTCAACGATCAGAAATAGGTGACATATTACTTTCGCTTTCAGGATATATCATGATATTTGATGGTTCAACCAAAAATATTGAGCATACTCCTGATGTTAAGGAATACAGTCCTTCAGAAATCTACGCAGAAAGTTATTTTTAATCCCCTAATGATATCTGGTAAAATTCTGCTTAGTTTAGCTGGACATATTGAATATATATGTATCCATACATCATATTTGCTTGTAGTTCTTATAAGCATTTCTACTTTTTATATTACTAGATTTTAGACACGTGTGTTGCACCTAGTATTGTCAATTATCAAAATGTTTTTATTCTAAAGCAATAAATCTTTAACAATACACGTTTCAAGCATTTGTTTGATATAAGTTGATGTGGTGTCACGACCCAATTTCTCGAGCCATGAAGGCACCTACTATAACCATCAGTAGGTAAGCCAAACCACAACCCAGAACAACACGTAATGGGTGTGAGGGTAGAAACTAAACACGACTAAGCAAAATTACTATAACAACATAAGCAAACCAAAACATAAATACAATTAAGGATCCCTCCCAGAGCTTGGAAGTCACTAATACAGAGCTACCAACAAAATGAGTACAAGTCCCAACAGTGGACCATCGAAACTAGACTGTCTCGAAAAGTAAAAGACAAGTCTTTATATAAACAGATGGAGACTGAAATAGTACAAAACACTGTGTGCTCACCCCTGTCTCCGGACTAGAAATGCTCCAAACTCGATCAACGCTGACTACTGGTGCTCGAACCTGCATCACGAAAATAGATGCAGAGCGTAGCATGAGTACCAAATAACATGTACCCAGTAGGCATCATAGGCCGACTGAACTAGAAAAGTAAAGCACTATGAAAAGACGGAATCACAAAACTAGAGGTCAAAAACAGAAGGCTAAGTAACACAATAATGCACACGAGTGTATAAAGATCTAACTAAATTAATATAAATAAGCTAACTACACCTAACTGGACCCACCATAAGCCTAGAAGGTACACTCGTGCACAAGTTTAAATAAAAACCCGAATAGACCCCCATAAGCCCGACGAGTACACAAAGTAACTATAACTTAAGGAGAATAAAACTCGAGGCCAAAGAACACCGAACCAAAAAGTAGAATCGGACGGTACGGAGGTCGGGCCTTGAACCGGACGCTCACCAGAATTACACAAGTAGCCAATTGCAAAATATAAGTAACTGAGGCCGGACCTCTAACCGGATGCTCTACATACTTGAGGCCGGACCTCTAACCGGATGCTCTACATACTTGAGGCCGGACCTCTAACTGGATGCTCTACATAAGTATGTGGATGTTCGAGGCCGGACCTTAAATCCGGATACCCGACAAAGATGTCGATATAGCTGCTGAAAGAGTCTTTATCTATCCATAATCATATAAACCCGTGGAACACCATCCAGACTTAGCTAATCAATGTAAGTCCTTAAAGCTGAAACGAACTCAACTTTGAATCACGGAGCGAAATTCATTGTCACTGACGTAACTCGAGAAGCCGTAACATCGAAGAAATAAGAGTAACTATCGCTAGAGCAAACTCATCATCTTTCTAAATACCCAACTATCAGACTCAAGTCTGCTACATCAGTCTACAAGGATTTAAGCCGGCCGAGCGACGTCGGGGCTAAACTAAGTCCTACCGACTTTGAATCATGCATTTCTAAGGAAACCCTAGTCAAACCTAAATTAAGGCCCAACATACTTCTGACAACCAGTATTCAAACATACAAGTAATTCATATAGCAAAGAAGGTCAATTAATAACAATAAACATGCTCACAATTACCCGATAATTCTCAGAAAAAGGGCGAAAATATGATTTTTAACACCTATGCATGATCCAATAACTACCCAACCCAAATCTCAACTAATCAACATGCATTCACATGTTCGAGTTCAATCTAAGAATAGAAACCATAGCCTACCTGAACGCAGATCACGCGCGCTCCAAAATTCACTTCCCCGGATCTTTTACTTTCTAAAAGGCCTCGAAACGTTGATACACTATCAGAAATAGAGTCACAACGTTATTACAGTCATTTAAACACTAAAATCGCAAGAAACGGAGACGGATCAATTTCGCGGTCAAAATGGAAAAAGCGGGATCCGCGTTAAGAAATCCCGAATTAACCCCAAATAAAAGTCCTAAATAACTTTCGGACTTGTATACCAGAATGGAACACAATTCAGGACTCAAGCCAGTCCCAACATGAACATGCAACAAAAAAAAACTCAAATTCTAAGCTAAAAATCAGCAACTATGGCAGCAGCTACTTACAAGATTTTACCAAAAATGAAGCTCCAACAGCCAAAACCAATCACACCACGACGATCCTCACGAAAACCCCCACAATATAGGCTCTTGAATCACTAGATTCGGACCTAAAATGGCCAAGAAATCACCTTCTAAAATTTCCCAAAACTTGTGCTCGAAAATGAGCTATGACAGCAGTTAAAACCCAAAATTTACCTCAAATCGGGTCCCCAAATCAGATTCCAAGCTCACCAATGCGTTGCCCTCGAAAAATCTCACAACTTAGCCTTTAAACTTAAAGTTAAAACACCTAATCCCACCAACTCACACTGAAAACTTTGGGAGTCATGTCGACAATGCTACTAGACTAAAATGACCCTTCCGGAACTGATGGAATCGTCAGAATTGGATTCTGATGTCATCTTCTAGAACTTTTGATCGAAAATGATCGTTCAAGGTTCAAAAGCTTCAAAAATACTAAAGCTCACACAATAACAAAACGAACGACCAGGTGACCGATCTGTCAGTCCCAGCAAGTCATAAATGACTTGGAACCGCTATAGGAACGCTCTAAACGATGCACAGAAGATAAAACACTAAAAATGACAAGAAGGATCATTACATGTGGTCTACTACATATTCTAAGTTACTCATATGCTAAACAACTAGATACAGTATGCACCAGATATGCAGTAATTCTAACAAAGTTTCCTATTATATACATGTTAGTATTTGGTTTATAGATGATCGTGGTCTTGTATTGAGTATTAATCGACACAATTTCTCATATTCTTCTGATTTTTTTATGGCAAAGAAGACAAAGTTGGTTAATAAGTAAATAATGGTGGACTCATTTTTGGTCACATCCTATCTGTAGTTTACGGGGGTGTATAAATATTCGCAACTTAGAGCTTGTTTGGATTGACTTATTTTAGGTGTTTATTTCCAATGAGGCTTAGATGTATGAGAAGAAACATTTTGGTTTTTATAATAGATTTTAACGTCTAAATTGTTAGAAATGTGCAATTTCCTCTCTTCTTCCAGAAGAATGTGGTGTGATGGATCTATCTTGAAGTATGAAAAGTTCAGTTTTCATTTTCTTTTCTGATCTGGAAGAGTTTCTATTTTTATACCTTTGATGTAAACGGAGAACAGTCTTTTCTATAGATGGTTGGTCTATTTGGTTGAACAGTTCGAGTTAGAGTTTCAATATAGTGCTTCTTAGAGTTTCATTGATAACATCCTTTTACATTGAGAAATGATGATCTGCTCGCATCTATGTTGTTGTTTTTTGCTTAAACTAGATGGCTATTTTTGTATTGCGCTATACACTGCTTTTACAAAAAATTTGAGAGATGCAGCTTTAACTTGTTTTGTACTACTGATTTATTGGAAGTGGAAGCCTAATGTTGAACACTAATCTGTATTTGCTGCTGACTGCATGGATCAAAACTATGAAGCAGAATGAAACAGGTCCAAATGAAGCAAAGTGATATCGCGGATTCATATAACTGATTACTTTACACAGAGAATGTTAGTAGGAAACCTTGTGGATTGTTCCATTGCTTTTCAAAGGTGAAAGATTATTATTACCTGTTCCAGTAAACTAAACAATTAGGCACTGGAAATTTCTCACTCAATTTCTCATCATTTACAGTTCCCCATCTGTTATCGACTCTATTTATTCTATAGTTCCCAGGTGTATAGCACTAATTCCGTCTGTGTTGCTGAATTTTTGCACCCAGGCAGAGTCTTACAGCATGGACCACTATAGCTGGTAAATGTAGGAAGACGGTAAATGTGCAATTGACAAAGTCAATATCTCCAAAGCGAGCATTGTACAATATCTCTTGGCTATATACCACAAGGTACCCCATGAAAAATGCATGCAGAGTGTATACCTACATACAAGCAGTACTCATCATCAGGTCAGACATATTATTTATTCATTAGACAGAAGTAACACATCGTATGCATACAACTGCATGCTTACCACTAATATCCAATGAGCTATGTGGCTGTCAAGGATATCTAAAGCATAAAGACAAACGCCGTAGATTATTACAGCATTAGAATAAAGCAGGGTTCCCAAGTAGATTTCTGTCCTTTCCATCGTTATCAAGGCTACAAGCCAGAAAGTTCCAATGCCAATTGTTGAACCTACCAAAAGGCCCAAAGCAAGGCTGGAGAGAAAGAAAGGAATGCTTTCTGAAGTTAGATATTGTTCAAAATATTCTTCAACTGCACATACAAAAGGGGCAGAGTAACTGCTGTTGTTCTCATTAAGATGCAATAAATAAAATGTAGGAATTCACAGAGCAAGTGAATGTCTTTGTTAAATGTAAAATATATTTAAGCGCACTCTTCATAATTTGGTCGTGTTTCATAATTTCACTAATTCATGAGCAATACTTGGTGCAAATACACAAGTCTTTCACAATTTGGTCATCATACTGCTAGCCAAGAATGCACAAACTTTAAAACTTCAAAACATAATTGTGAGATACACTTTTCTAACTATAATTCTAGTCAAGTACCTTAAGTTAATGAAGAATAGAAGTAATTTCAGGGTATAGGAATCTTAAATACAAGTCATATATTGCTCAATGCTTCTCATTCATAAGCTAAATATAATGCAAATTCTGAACTGTGAAAGCCTAGATGATTGATCGATCATGCCGTTAATACACAATTTTTCAGACATTCCAGGTTGTCCAAAACCCACGGGATCCAAAATGTGTGTTGTGTGCAAGAATGATACAAGATGTCAAATTCATCCACCCACTCCAATGCCATTGTTCTCACAAGTCCTTATGAAAGAATTTTCACAGAGAAAGTAGTCATTCTAATTGATTATGGAAAACAATAGTTTCTACAAGGGTACCAATTTTTTCAGGATTTCGAGTAGATCTAACGATTTTTAAGGATAATGGGATTACAAGTATATACCAATCAGCAACAAGCCTTTCTCCGTACACTATTGAAGACTACAAAATCAGGTTCCTAGATATGTGATATAACCAGAAAGCTGTCAAAGCAACCATATCAAACTTTGACAGAAGATTTCTGAACAATTTATAGCATCTTTTGACTCTTACGCTTGTTCCATTTCGGTGAGATGTTGGATAATAAGGCAAGAAGAAGCTCCCAAATTAAAGACAGCATGCAGCAAGAGTAAAACCCTCATCCTCTGCATAGATAGTAGAAGATCTACATTTTAAGAAGCGACTTCAAGAATAATTCAACAACTTGGAAGAAAATCTATACAGTATAGATCAGATACCACTCTCCATGGTGGTGTAATGTACAGCCAGAGTAAACTTGATACAGAAGAAATGACTGTGACCGGCCCTCCCGCTTCCCAGATCCAGTGCAAGAAGGATCCAAAAGTAAAGCTCAACATGGTACAGAAGAAAGTAAGATACACCTATAATCACATGAAAAGAAAAGAGGGAAATCCAATACTTAGAAGCAAAAATGCATCTTTTTCAAGATAACTAGGTTTTGCAAAAAATGGAAGGATCAAACACAAGATACTGAAATCTGATCCAAAAACGACTTTCAATACCAAACTCGACTCAAAATGCAAAAGAAAATCTGCATGTTAATGCAATCGGGTTCATCAGATTATCACTGACAACATAATTAAGGGCAAAAGAACAGTAAAAATTACAGAAATTGTAAAATGTTGCTTTATTTCTGACTGAACTACAACAAATTGTAAAATTAACCAACAATCATTATCGGCATTCTCGTGATTACAAGTAGATCTCCTAATCCATCGCAATTACGTAAATAGAAAAACCTCCATTCCTCAATCTCTCTAATACCAAACGGACTCAAATGCTAAAGAAAAGCTGCTTGTTACTCCAATCGGTTTTATCAGATTATCACTAACGGCATAATTAAGTGCAAAATAACAGTAAAAATTATAGAAATTAGAAAATGTTACATTATTTCTTACTGAACTACAAAAAATTGTAAAATTAATCAACAATCATTATCGGCATTCTCTCGATTACAAGTAGATCTCCTAATACATCTCGATTACGTAATTCGAGAAACCTCCATTCCTCTATCTCCAAATTACAATTTCTTAAATTACAATATTTCAATCAGAAAAAAAGTAGAATAAGTTTAAGGATGAATGAATGTACCCTATTCAAGCTTCTGTAAGCATGCATGGAGATTCTTCCAAAATCCATCAAGTCTTGTCTTGTCCAATCCCTTTTGAAGTAAGCTTTCACAGCATTTTTCATCACTGAGAATTTCATTTTTTTTTTCAGAGAGAAAACGGAATCGGAAAACTGATGAAGAACAATGAAGAAGAAGAAGAGCTGTGCTCTGTTTATACTGAAAACGAGTTCGTTACCATCGACTACCCTCTTCGTTACTCTTTTTCGGAATATTTACGCTTCTACCTTTCAGTTATGGTCCGAGTTTAGGAAATATTCCAGGGGTATTTTCGTCAAACGAGCAAAGAGAAAGTATCCACGTGTTCAGATCGTTGGCGGGAAAGGGGAGAGGTTTAAGAAATGTAATTGTAGCATATTTATATAGTCACGTAGAAGATAAGTACTAATTTGTATAAGATGTTCAGTTTTATTTTATTTTAATTAATTAAATTGATATATAATATATTGGTTAAAAAATCTTACATCTTTTTTTTTTATTTTGTTTTATATTTTTAATTAAATATAGTCTATAATCATTAAAAGCTATTTAAAATAGTCTTCTCATCAGTCATCACCAAAGTCTTAATTACTCAATTTAGGATTAAAGAATAAATTTTTTTCCTCTACAAGCTCCCAATTTCTACTTCTTCATATTATTTTTTGGTCGAAAATTTAGCTTCTTGAATTAAGTCACTGTTATACACAGTTCAGTCATTGTTATCTTTAATTAGTTTCTCCTTTGCTGTAAGAGTCCGAAAAAATGTGTTTTATACAACTAAATCATTCCCAATAACTAGCAGATAATTTTATGTTTATCAAACCATTGATAAGCCAAAATGTGCTTAGTTACACACCCTCTAAAATAATTATTAAAACTAAGTAGTAGTGTTAATTTGCCTAAAGTATAATTGGAAGTGCCAGGAGGAAACAGAGATGATATTTTTTATGATACCAAAAATAGCTTAATAATTTCGATGTAATGAAGTAAAATTGTCGAGTGAGCATTTGTGAAATTAAACCAAGTAGTCTTATATATGATTCCAATGAGACCCCTAAAATTGGAAACTCATGTAACAATTCAAATAGTCTTCATTGCACCATCTTGAAAAAAAGAAAGAACACTTATTAGTAAGTACTACTTGATCTATTAGCATTCAAGAGTTCCTTAATCACAAAGTTTATTTGTGTGGTAAGGTAGGTAATCAGCAATCAGTATTTGCCCAGAAATATTCAATGACTAAAATGTTAGCCACAAAGGAATACTTTTTCATCATTTACAGTTCCTAATCTGCAGTTTGATTAACTTTTGCACCAAAGGGAAGGCATACTCTTGCAGCATGGAGCACTATAGCCGGTAAATTGAAGAAGACAGTGAGTGCGCGATGGATAAAGTCAATATCTCCAAAGCTAACATCATAGAATATCTCTTGGCTATATACCACAAAGTAACCCAGGAACAATATCACCGAAGCGGTTACCTACAACAAGCAGTATTCATCATCAAATCAGTCATATTGTTCATTCATTATACAGAGGCGAGTTTAGAGCTAGAGTCAGTGAGTTTAAAATGACTTATCATATTTTATGTATACATATTAAGTTCGAGGCAAAAGTAACGATTTATTAATATGTGAACTGTTTTATAGGATGAGTATGGTCGCATTGTATGCATACAACTGCTTACCTTTAGGATGGCTAGGACTGTGTAGCTGTCACGGATAAGACTGCCAATCACAAGCAAGACTGCTAACGTTACAAGACAACAATAAAGCAGGCCACCGTGGTAGATGTGGCTCCTTTCCCTTGTTATTGTGACTTCAAACTTGAAATATGCGATGCCAACTGTTGTACCTGCAAAAAAGCTGGCAACATAGCTGGAGAGCAAGCATGGAATGCTTTCTGAAGTTAGATATTGTTCAAAATAAGGAACAGAGAACAACAAGGGCTATCAACTACACATACTGTAGGAGCAAAGTAACTGCTATTGAATTCATTAAGATGCAATATAATGTAGGAATAACAGAGCAAGCAAATGTCTTTGTTATTTTAGAACAAACTCCAGGAATCAGGGGTAAATTATCTATGTGACCTCTTCGCAATTCGGTGCAGATGCAGAACTCTATCACATCTGGTCATCATATTGCTCAACTTCTCCCATTCATAAGCCAAACATAGTTCAAAATTTGAAACTCTATGTGCTATAACATATACTAATAGTCAGAAATGCAGAGACATTAAACTGTTCAGGTTTCCAAAGAAGCTCATAATTGTTAGATACATTTTTCTAACTATAATTCAAGTCAAGTCCCCTAAATCCATGAAGGATACAAGTAATTTCAGGGTATACGAATATCAATTATAATTTATAAGCCATCAATTTAGAAGTCCAAAACAATAGTTTATAGCTTAACAACAGACCAACATTCTAGCACCCGATGCTAGACATACTGCTCAATATATTTCATTCATAAGCTAAGCATAATGAGAATTCTGAACTGTGTAAAAGCCTAGGTGATCGATCATGCCATTAATGCACAAATTAATTTTCAGATATTCCAGGATGTCCAAAACATACATGAACTAGCCACATTTAGCTAACTGCGTGCAAGAATGATACAAAATGTCAAATTCCTCCATTCATGTGCCCGTTTACTCACAAGTCCTTACTACAGAATTTTCAGAGAGAGAGTATTCATTCTAACTGAAGATGAAAAACAATAGTTTCTACAAGGATAAAGTGATCACAAGTATAAATAGTAATCAGCAAAAAGCCTTTCTCTGTACACAATTGAAGACTACAAAATTCAGTTCCTGATAATCTTATATGAGAAGAAAGCAGTAAAACCAACCATATAAAACATCAACAGAAGATATCTGAACAATGTTGAGCATCTTTTGAGCCTTACTTTTGATGCATTTCAAAGAGATATTTTGTAAGAAGGCCAACAGAAGCCCCAAAGGAGAAGGCATAAATCATCAATAGTGAGCGCCTTAGCTTCTGCATAGACAGAAGATTTACAAAATAAGAAGCGACTTGAAGAACAGTTCAGCAACTTGGAAGAAAATCTACGAGTCATTGATCACGTACCAGTCTCCATGGTGGTGTAAAGTAAAGCCAGAGTAAACTTACTACGGAACAGAGGACTGTGAACAGCCCTCCCACTTCCCAGAACAAGTGCAAGTAGGATCCAACAGTAGAGCAAAACATGACATTGTAGAAAGTAAGATACACCTATATCATCGGTAAAAACTAATCAATCACAGGAAAAGGGCCCTTCATATTGTTGGAATTAGAAGCTGAAATCTGAAATTGCACTAAACAAACTAATCCGTCCCACTCAAAATTGTTATGCTACTTTCATTCAAAACAACTTCTAAGACTGAATCGGGAGCCAGGCCTCGATAACAAACTCGATACAAAATGTTACTCCAGTTGTTATATCAGATTATCACTAACGTCATAAGCAAGTGCAGAGGAACAGCAATAATTACGTCAAATACATTAAAATCTTCTGAGAATCGGAATTCATCAATCCTGAAGATTTTAAGAAAAGCAAGTAGAATGTTGCCTTATTTCTTACTGTTAAAAAACGAATGGACTATGATTATCCTCAATATACCGAGAACCGAAATTCAATAATAGTGAAGATAAAAAAAAATTAAGGATTTAGCATCATCTTCTGATCAGCTATTAGTTGCATGACTAAAATCTCGATTTCTCTAAATCAATATTTTCATCAGAACAGTAATTCTTAGGTATAGGATGAATGTACCGCATTCAAGACATCGAGAGTTTCCAGCTTAACTATTCCAGATTTCATCAGGTCTTCTCTTCCCCAGTTCCTGTTGAAGTACCATTTCACAGCATTCATCGCGTGGAGTTTCAGCTCTAAAAACTTCATATTTCTTCTCTACTTTTTTCAGAGAGAAAATGTAAATGGAAAAGTGACGAGGAAGAATGAGAAACGTGAGCTGTTTTTATAGTTTCGCAGAGAAGAGTTTATTACCAACGACTGCCCTTGCCATTACTCTATTTCAGATATTTACGGTTTTACCTTTCAGTAATGGGCTGAATTTCAGGAGTAAGCTGGGGTAATTTCGTCAAGGAAGTAAAAGAATCTCCTAACTCAGATGATTGGCGGGAAGCTTTTCCTTTTTTCTCTCTTTTTTTTTAAATTACTCCTGTGGAACAATTGTATTTCTTATAAACAAAAAAGTCTAAAACTTGTCAGTTTTTGATGAATTATGTCGAAACAATGTTTTTTCTCTTTGTTTATTTATCAGCAACAATAATATATATGTAAGTCCAAATTTTGATTGTTATCCTTTTTGACTCGAATATACCCATAATGAATTCCAGCTCATGGTAAAGATAGTCGACATGCATTTTAGTTGTGTTTGACGATGGAGAAAATATTTTCATAGAAATGAAACAGATAACAAATTGTTTCGTGTGTTTGCTAAAAAGGTGTAAATAAATACATTTTTCCTATCAAAACAATTGAAATGTCTTAAAAGGTAGTATTTGGTTAACGAAGAGTGCTTATACATTGGGGGTGAATGGTGACCAACAGAAAGCAAATTATACCAACTGAAAAAAAATTGAAAAGTGGTTTTGAAAACTGATATCAAGAGAAAAGCTAACCGATTTGTAGCTAAAATTATGTGAAAAAATTAGGAACTCTGGAATATACAATTACTATTTTGCAAGGAATATAATATTCAAAGCACTTAGCTTCAGACTAACGAATATCAAATTGAATCAGTAAATTGTAGTAACAAAGGAATACTTTTCATCATTTACAGTTCCTCATCTGAATTCTACTCTCTATTTATTCTACAGTTCCAAGTGTATCAGCATTAATTCTGTCGGTGTTGCTCAATATTTGCACCAATGCATAGTCTTGCAGCATGGACCACTATACCCGGTAAATGGAAGAAGATGGTGAGTGTGCGATTGACAAAGTTGATTTCTCTAAAGTGAGCATCATACAGTATCTCTTGGCTATATACCACAACATACCCCAAGAACAATGCAAGCACAACGCATACCTATCACACAATGACACAAGCAGTGCCCATCATCAGGTCAGTCATATCATATCGTTCATTAGACAGAAGTAATGACTTATTACCATGGGAGCTGAGTTATAGGATGTGCGTGAGCACATTGTACGCATACACTGCTTACCTTTAACATCCAATGAGCTACGTGTATGTTAATGACTTCGAAAGTTCTAACAACATAGGTGGCAAGCATTAGACTAAAAGGATAAGTCAGGCAGTTGATATAGATTTCTCTCCTTTCCCTCGATAACAAGGATTCAATCCAGAAAGTTCCAATGGCAAGTGTTGAACCTGCATAAAGGCTGACAACAAGGCTGGAGAAGAAGCAAGGAATGCTTTCTGAAGTTAGATATTTTTCAACTTATCAAATTAACAATGAGAGATAATCAACTACACATAAAAGGGAGGAGCAAAGTAATTGCTTGAATTCATTAAGATGCAATATAATGTAGAAACTGAAAGTGCAAGCAAATGTCTTTGTCATATTAGAAATGACTTCAAGAATTTAGTGTAAAAGTATTTAAGTGCACGCTTTATAATTTTGTCATGTTTCTTGGTTCCACTCATTTATGCGCCCTACTCGGTGCAAATGAAGAACTCCTTCACAATGTGGTCATCATATTGCTAAATTTCTGTGTGCCATAGCCCATAAGATATACTGGTAGCCAAGAATGCACTTAATGGTGAGATATAATTTTCTAACTTTTACTCCAGTAACATCCCCTAAATCCATGAAAGATACAAGTAATTACAGGGTATAGGAATCTGAAGTACAAGTCGTCAGTTTACAAGTCCAAAAACAATAGCTGATAACATATCGATAGACAAACATTCTAACACCCAATACTTAGTTTCTACAAGGATACTAACTTCTCCAGTTAGGATTTCGAGTAGATCTAATGATTATTAAGGATAAAGTAATCACAAGTATAAATACCAATCAGCAAAAAGCCTTTCTCGGCACACAATTGAAGACTACAAAAATCAGGATCGTGATAATATGATATGATAAGAAAGCAGTAAAAGCAATCATATAAAACTTCAACAGAAGATATATCTGAACAATGTTTCGCATCTTTTGAGTCTTACATTTGATTCATTCCGAAGAGATATTCGATATAAAGGCCAAAAGAAGCACCCATGTTACAGGCTGCAAACATCAAGAGTGAGACCTTCGTCCTCTGCATAATAGACCGAGGATTTACGACATAAGAAGCAACTTCAATAATAAATCAACAACTTGGAAGAAAATCTACAAGACACGGATCACTTACCACTCTCAATGGTGATATAAAGTACAGACAGGGTAAACTTGCTACAGAAGAAAGGACTGTGAATCGCCCTCCCACTTCCCAGATCAATTGCAAGAAAGATCCAAAAGAAAAGCTCCACAAGGCACATAAGAGAGTAAGATACACCTATATTTCAGCAAACTAATCAATCACAGGGAAAGAGGGGAATCCAATACTTGAAGCAGATGTGAAAATGCAACTTTTCCAGCTACCTAGGTTTTGCAAAGAAAGAAAAGATCAAACACAAGATGCTGAAACCTGAAATTGCATGAAACAAGTAAATCCCTCCATCCAAAATTATATGAAACGAATACATTTTGGGAAGCTTGAATGCACTTGGCACCATTAAACTTCATTCAAACTATTCAAAAACAACATTCAAGACTGAATAGGGAGCATGGTTTCAATACCAACTCGACTCGAAATGCTTAAGAAAAGTTGCATGTTACTCCAATCGTTTAGTCAGATTATTATTAACAGCATAAACAAGTAAAAAAAGAAGAGAAGAAAATATGGTAATCATTGAAAAAATATTCAGAAAAATCGAAAAACATCATGAATCCTGAAGATTTAAGTAAAGCAAGTACAAAAGAAGAGAAAAACTACGGTAATACATATAAAATATTCAGAAAAATCAAAATTCATCATGAATCCTGATGAATTAAGTAACACTAAAACAAATCGATTCCAAGTAGATCTCCTGGTACAGCTATCAATAATGAGATTACGTACAGTTACAGTATTTTAATTAACATCGGTTCCTCAATCTCTCGATCACAACATTTTTCATAATCAACATTTTAATCAAGTAGAACAATAATACTTACACTTGTGATCAAATACAAAGAAAAAAAGAAACCGTAAGAATGACTGTACCGTCCTCAAGCTTGCGCAAGCGTGCTCGGGAATTTCATCATTATTCATCAGGTCTTCTATTGTCCATTTCCTTACGAAGTAAGCTCTCACAGCCTTCCTTGCCTGGAGTTTCATATTTGTGAACTTCATGTTTTTTGCTTCAGAGAGAAAATTGAATCGGAAATTTGATGAAGATGAATGAGGAACGTGAGCTGTGTTTGTTATACACAGAAGAGTTCACCGCCCCTCGCATTTTCTCTGTTTGGGGTTATTTACGGTTCTACCTTTCGGTTATTGGCAGAGTTCAGGGGACATTGCCGGGGTACTTTCGTCAAAGCAGAAAAGGAGAACAATCTCCAGGCTCAGGTCGATGGCGGGAATAAATTTATTTTTGACTAAATTAATTACATCAAAATGCCCCGAATCCAAAATATTTCCATAAATTAATTTAGATTGTTTTATCTTTTATTTTTAAGAGATCAATATTAGTTTTAATATTATTTTCTCGTTGTCTATTTTTTCTCAAATTGCACGTGTAATTTTGAATGAGCAATTTTGTAAATGGTGGTGTTGGAATCGAGAGCGTGACAACAACTTTGCTCGAAGCGCTAGTTTTTGGTGAAGTTTGTTGAGAAAATATTTTGTGCCCTTTATTTATTAGCAATTATAATATATGTAAGTTCAAATTCTGTCATCATGCTACAGAAAGCAAAATAGACCAACTGAAAGGGGTTTTCAAAAATTGATATCAACAGAAATGCTCGTAGCTAAAATTTTGTGAAAAAAAATGGGAACGCTAGAATATACAATTACTATTTGCCAAGGAATATAATATTCAAAGCACTTGGCTTCACACTAACGAATTTCAAATTCCCCATCTTCCTTCTACTCTCTATGTATTCTACAGTTCCAAGTGCATCAGCATTACTTCTGTGATTCTATCTGTGTTGCTCAATTATGCATTGAATCAGGCAAAGTCTTGCAGCATGGACCACTATACCCGGTAAACGGAAGACGATGGTGAGTGTGCGATTGACAAAGTTAATTTCTCCAAAGTGAGCATCATACAATATCTCTTGGGTATATACCACAATGTACCCCAAGAACAAAGCAAGCACAATGCATACCTATCACAGAAGCATTACTCATTATCAAGTCAGTCATATTATTCATTCATTAGACACAAGTAGTGATTTATATATAGGATGTGTGTGAGCAGATGGTATGCATACAACTTCTTACCTTATACAAAAAATGAGCTGCCCGGCTGCCAACGTAGTCTGCATTACTAACAACAAAGGTGGAGAAACATAGAGCCCAACAATAATACACGCAGCCCAAGTAGATATCACTCCTTTCCCTCGTAAACATCGATCCAAACCACAGAAATCCAATGGCAAATGTTGGAGGTGCCAAAAGGGTGTAAACAAGGCTGTAGAGCAAGCAAGGAATGCTTTCTGAAGTTAGATATCTTTCAAATTATCAAAATATTCAGAACAGCAAGAGATAATCAACTACACACACACACAAGGAGCAAAGTAACTTCTATTCAATTCATTAACTAAAAGAGCAAGCAAATGTCTTCGTCAACTACTCCAATGCATCCAATTCATCTACTCCAATGCCGTTGTTTTCAAAAGTCCAGAGTAGGTAGTCATTATAATTAAAGATGAAAGCAGTAAAAGCAACCATACAGAACATCAACAACAGAGCACAATGTTTCTAGTCTTACCCATGATCTATATCGACGAAATATTTGATAAAAATGCCAATAGAAGCACCGATGGAAAAGGCAGCAATCATCAAGAGTAAGACCCTCGTCCTCTGCATAGAAAGAAGATTTACGACAGAGGAAGCGACCTCAATATTAAATCAACAACTTGGAAGAAAATTTACAAGTCACAGTTCACGTACCACTCTCAATGGTGATATAAAGTAAAGACAGAGTAAACTTGCTACAGAACAAAGGACTGTGAACTGCCCTCCCGCTCCCCGGGTCCAGTGCAAGAAAGATCCAAAAGTAAAGCTCCACATGGCAAAGAAGAGAGTAAGATATACCTACATTTCAGCAAATTAATCAATTACAGGAAAAAAGGAGAATCCAATACTTGGAAGCAGAAGTGAAAATGCATCTTGTCCAACTAACTAGGCTTTGCAAAGAAAGAAAGATCAAACACAAGATGCTGAAACCAGAAATTGCATGAAACAAATTAATCCCTCCGTCCAAAATTGTATGAGACGAATTCATTCTGGGAAGCTTGAATGCAATTTCATCCAAACTATTCAAAAACAACTTTCAAGACTGAATAGGGAGCAAGGTTTCAATACCAAACTTTACTCAAAATGCTAAAGAAAACTTACATGTTATGACAATCGTTTAGTTTGATTATCACTAACAGCATAAGTAAGTACAAAAGACAGAAAAATTACGGTAATACATGTAAAATATGCAGAATAATCGAAATTCATCATGAATCCTGAAAGAATTAAGTAAAGCAAGTACAAAAGATGAGAAAAAACTACGGTAATACACGTAAAGTATTCAGAAAAATCAAAATTCATCATGAATCGACTCCAAGTAGTTCTCCAAATACAGCTATCAGTAACGAGATTACAATATAGAAAAATCTCGATTCCTCCATCTCTCGATTACAATACTTTTCATAACCAACATCTTAATCAAGTAAGAATAAATGAAACCGTAAGAATGAATGTACCTTCTTCAAGCTTTTGTAAGCCTGCTGGGGAATTTCTCCATTATTCATCAGGTCTTCTATTGACCAACTCCTTACGAAGTAAGCTCTCACAGCATTTTTGGCCACAAGTTTCATATCTGAGAATTTCATGTTTTTTGCTTCAGAGGGAAAACGGAATCGGAAATTTGATGAAGAAGAATGAAGAACGTGAGTTGTGTTTATACACACAAGAGTTTGTTACCAAAGACTGCCCCTCCCCGTTACTCTCTGTTTGGGAATATTTACAGCTCTACCTTTCAGTTATTGGCTGAGTTTTACATCTTTTTATTTTTTAAAAAAATGTTTTTATTGCATAATTTTATAGTTGATCAAATATTCAAGGCTCTGTTTATGTTGTGGTGTGTTTCTATGCTTTTGTTGAGTGTTTTTTGGTATGGATTATAAACTTAGCAGAGAATCGATGGTTTAGATTTTACCTATTTTAAATGTTTCCTCTCGGATGACGGTATCTTCTCTTCCACAATTCCTATTGAAGTACGATTTCACAGCATTCATCTACGAGTTTCAGTTCTGAGTACTTTATCTTTCTTCTCTATTTATTTCAGAGAGAAAAATGAGAATGGGAAAAATTGTACTTTCTTATTAAAAAAAGGTCTTTAACTACTCCTCAAAAATCACAAACAACGAAAACACCAAATGTTAATCATAATTCATATCAGTGGCGATGAAGATTTCCTCTACTCTATTGGTTTCATGCGTTACGCCCTTGGGTGCAGTTAGAATCGAGAGCTTGAGAAGATCTTTGCTTGAAGCGCTACTTTTCGGTGAAATATGTTGAAAGAATGTTTTTTCTCTTTCTTTATTTATCAGCAATAATAATATATGTAAGTTCGAATTCTATCATCATGCTTTTCGACTTACTAGTTTCGGATGAGCACGTGTGTTCCATGTAAATTTTTATAGATACATTAGGATAACTAAAATCTCATGGAAATATATATATATATATATATATATATATATATGTAAATTGAATGAATAATAAAATGTAACAACTACAAAATTCAAAGACTTATGGCAACAAAACATTCATAGAAAACTAAATTAAAAAGTCTAACAGAGTGAAAAAAATATAAAAAAGAAACAGAATATTTAAGAAAAAATACAATATAGACATTATTCTTATAAGATTGATGTATATATAGATGAAAAAATAAGTACAAAATTAGTACATAACTCTCTGAGTTTTTATCGATTCCTTTCATATCCTATCAAAATTCAAGAATTTTCATCATCTGTTTTTACTATAGAATAAAAATAATATCCTAATAATCTTGGTACGGGTTTCATGAGATAAAGAAGTTGAATTTATATAAATAGAATAGAAGGAATATCAAAAGATATCTTAAAGTTTTTAGTTTAAATATTTGGAAGTTATGAATATGAAAAGATGAGAGTTATGAATATTAAGAGTATAAAAGTTAAATAAGTAATTAGAAAATAATAATAAATAAATGAAAGAATATGAAAAAAAATTAAAGTTAGCAAACCATGTAAAAAGAACAACTAAAGTTCTTACCATGTAATTAAGCATTAATAAATTTAAATTTGTGAAGCTAGAGTCATTCTTTAATAATAATCAAGAGGACATTATCAATGTGCGTCTCCATTTTATAGATTTGCACCCTTTAAATTATTAAATTTCGTTATTTATCATAAAGGATAATACTTTATCCACATTAATTGTATTATTCATGAGAGGGGTTAAGAAAAAAGTTATAAGAAGAGGAAAAGAAAAGAAATTTAGGTAAAGATTTTTTCTAAAAAAAAATTATAATTATTATATACATATAGATTATAGATGATAAATATTAACAGATTAGATATTTAATTAGGAATTAATCTTAGGAAGTCTAAAAGTCATTAACATTTAATTAAATTTATACAATCAAATATTAAATATTTATAACAATTTAATTTACAGTAAGGGTAAAAGCGTAATTTAACTTTCAACTTTTTTGTTCATGCTTTTAGTAATATATGATGAATATTCCCATAATGAACTCCAGTTCATAGTAAAGAAAGCCGACATGTATTTTTGTTGTGTTTGACAATGGAGAAAATATTTTCCAAGAAAATGAAATAAATAATAAATCTTTCGTGTATAGCTAAAATTTTGTGAAAAAATAGGGAACGCTAGAATACACAATTACTATTTGGCCAAGGAATATATTCAAAGCACTTGGCTTCAGACTAACTAATTCCAAATTCGCCACAAAGGAATTCATCATTTATAGTTCTCTCCATCTGCATTCTACTCTCTATTTATTCTACAGTTCAAAGTGTATCAGCATTAATTCCATGATTCTGTCTCTGTTGCTCAATTTATGCAGTCAGGCATAGTCTTGCAGCATAGACCACTATACCCGGTAAACGGAAGAAGACGGTGAGTGTGCGATTGACAAAGTTAATTTCTCCAAAGCGAGCATCATACAATATCTCTTGGCTATATACCACAACGTATCCCATGAACAATGCAAACACAATGCATACCTATCACACAAGCAGTACTCATAATTAAGTCAGCCATATTATTCATTCATTAGACAGAAGTAATGATTTATAGGATGTGTGTGAGCACATTGTACGCATACAACTGCTTGCCTTTAACATCCAATGAGCTGTCTGGCTGTCAATATATTCTGATTTAGTAGCAACAAAGGTGGAGAACATTACAGCCCAAGAATAGAACATGCAGGCCAGGTAGATTTCACTCCTATCCCTCGCTAACAAGGATTCAGACCAGATAAATCCAATGCCAAGTATTGGAGGTGCCAAAAGGCAGACAACAAGGCTGTAGAGCAAAAGCAAGGAATGTTTTCTTGAAGTTTGATATTGTTCAAATTATCAAAATATTCTTCAAATAAGGAACACAGAACAACAAGAGATAATACACATACAGAAGGAGCAAGAGATAATCAACTACACATACAGAAGGAGCAAGAGATAATCAACTACACATACAAAAGGAGCAAAGTAACAGCTATTAAGATGCAATATAATGTAGAAACTGAAAAAGCAAGCAAATGTCTCTGTCATATACGAAATGACTTCAGGAAATCACTGGCACTCTTCATAATTTCGTCATGTATCTTAGTTTCACTCGTATATGAGCACTCTTCAGAAATCAGAACTTCTTCACAATCTGGTCATCATATTGCTGAATTTCTGTGTGCTATAACATATAATGCTAGCTAAGAATGCACATAATGGTGAGATAGAATTTTCTAACTGTAACTCCAGTAAAATCCCCTAAAATCATGAAAAGATATAAGTAATTTCAGGGTATTGGAATCTGAAGTACAAGTCATCAGTTTACAAGTCCAAAAACAATAGCTTACAACCTAACAACAGACAAACATCCCAACACCAATGCTCATATTGCTCAATATTTCCCATTTATATGCCAAGCATAATACCAATTCTGAACTGTAAAGAACTAGGTGATCAATCATGCCATTATTGCACAAATTTTCAGACATTCCAGGTTCTCCAAAACCTATGTGATCCTAGTAGCCATTTTTAGCTAACTGTGTGCAAGAATGATTAAAAAATGTCAAATTCATCCACTCCAATGCCATTGTTCTCACAAGTCGTTATGAAAGAATTTTCACAGAGTAGGTAGTCATTCTAATAAAAGATGAAAAGTAATAGTTTCTACAAGGATACTAATTTTTCCTGTTAGGATTTCGAGTAGATCCAATAAAGTAATCACAAGTATAGATACCAATCAGCATCAAGCCTTTCTCTGTACACAATTGAAGACTACAAAAATCAGGTTTCTGATAATACGATATGACAAGAAAGCAGTAAAAGCAACCATATAAAACTTCACAACAGAAATATCTTTCATCTTTCTAGTCTTACACTTGATCTATTTCAAAGAAATATTTGGTAAAAATGCCAATAGAAGCACCAATGGAAAAGGCAGCAATCATCAAGAGTAAGACCCTCGTCCTCTGCATAGACAGAAGATTTACGACATAAGAAGCAACCTCAATAATAAATCAACTTGGAAGAAAACTTACAAGTCACGGTTCAGGTACCACTCTCAATGGTGATATCAAGTAAAGACAGAGTAAACTTGCTACAGAACAAAGGACTGTGAACCGCCCTCCCGCTTCCCATATCCAGTGAGAGAAGGATCCAGAAGTAAAGCTCCACATGGCAAAGGAGAGAGTAAGATATACCTATATTTCAGCAATACTAATCAATTACAGGAAAAAGGGGGAATCCAATACTTGGAAGCAGAAGTGAAAATTCATCTTCTCCAGCTAACTAGGTTTTGCAAAGACAGAAAGGATCAAACACAACATGCTGAAACGAGAAATTGCATGAAACAAATTAATCCCTCCGTCCAAAATTATATGAAACGAATTCATTTTGGGAGGCTCAAATGCAATTTCATCCAAACTATTCAAAAACAACTTTGAAGACTGAATAGAGAGCAAGGTTTCAATACCAAACTTTACTCAAAATGCTAAAGAAAGTTACAAGTTATGCCAATCGTTTTGTGTGATTATCACTAAAAATAAGGCAATACATGTAAAATATTCAGAAAAAACAAAATTCATTATGAATCGATTCCAAGTAGTTCTCCAAATACAGCTATCAGTAACGAGATTACAATATAGATAAATCTCGATTCCTCCATCTCTCAATTACAATACTTTTCATAACCAACATTTTAATCAAGTAAGAATAAATGAAACCATAAGAATGAATGTACCGTCTTCAAGCTTGCGTAAGCGTGCTGGGTCATTTCTCCATTATTCATCAGGTCTTCTACTGTCCAACTCCTTACGAAGTAAGCTCTCACGGCATTCATGGCCTGGAGTTTCATATCTGAGAACTTCATGTTTTTTGCTACAGAGGGAAAACGGAATCGGAAATTCGATGAAGAAGAATGAAGAACGTGATTTCTGTTTATAGTTCGTTATACACATAAGAATGGCCTGGGAATATTGCAAGGGTAATTCCGTCACAGAAGAAAAAAAGAGAAAAATCTCCTGCCTCAGTCATTGGCGGGAACGGGGAAAGGTCTGGAGACTGGAAATATGATTTTTTTAGGGAATTTCTGTTTCCTTTTCCTCTTTTTATTTTGTTACTTGTTCTTCGAACCCGTGCTTTATATGTATGTGTATATCAATTTACTATAAATATTTAAAAAAATTAAGTATATGAATGATAAAAAAAAAATTAGATGTCATATGAACATACTAAAAAGAGAAAAGAAAAAATATATAAAAATCCTCTTCAACTTAATCGCATAACTTACTTTAATACTTAAACTATACGGACGTTTAAAATCCCCCCTAAATACAACCCTGAGAGTAGAATATCACTATCACTTGCCACATCATAGTCATGTAAGCACCACGTCACAGTCATGTAAGCACCATGTATTAATTTCCAATCTTTGTTTTTCTTAAAACTCATTATTATAATAAATTAATTTTAAAAATACAATTGAAAATCAAAATTATCACATTTTCTTTCACCCCATCTCTTCTATGCCCCCTCCTTTCCTCTTACTTCTTTCTTGATTTTCACCATTTTCAACCTTCACTAGCTTCTTCTTTTTTTGAATTTTCAGCCTTCAATGGTTGTTTTCTTCTTCAATATTTATCAACTTTTTTTAAAAAAATAGCATACATACTCTTTTTTTTCTTCTTTATGGATAATAGAACCTTAGTTTAGTTAAAGTGTGTCTCTGAAATTTCGATCATAGTACATGGGTTAATAAGAAGTTAAATTTTTTAACAATGTACGTTAAAAAGTACATGCAGTCAATTACTCAATGGAAGAAGAAAGGCAAGAGTATTAATGGTATACGTTGAGATCAATATGCATTAAATTACTAAATGGAAAATGAAAGGTTTTTACTGATATTTCTAGCATATAAATGTAATGAAGTGCTCCTTCAACTTGCTTGTTTTCTATCTAAGAGGTGCAAATTTCTTTTAAGAAGAGAGAGATAGACAATCATGTCTTAGATCTCAATCTAACGCTGGAATATATAATTACTATTGTTGAATGCCTTGAATCGGACCCGCTACAAACAGAAAGGACGGGGTCTCGCTGTTGTTGTATTGGGCCCTTAATTTTCTGTTGATTCTGTATGTTGGGCCCAAGCCTGTTAGGGCGTAGCTTAGCACTATATATAGACGTTATGGAAACTCTATTCTGTAATTCTGTTTTTGCCTCTCCATAATAAAACTGCTCCCTCTCTTCCCGTGGACGTAGCCAATTTATTGGTGAACCACGTAAATCTGTTGTGCGTTTATATTTTCTCGTATTATCTCAAATTCCGCACAACAACTATTTGCCAAGGAATGATATTCAAATTAAAGTACTTGGCTTCAGTCTAACGAATTTCAAATTCAATCAGTAAAATGTAGGAACAAAGAAAAACTTTGCATCATTTACAGTTCCTCATCGGAATTCTACTCTCTATTTATTCTACAGTTCCAAGTGTATCAGCATTAATTCTCTCTGTGTTGCTCACTTTCTGCAGTCAGGCAAACTCTTGCAGCATGGAACACTATACCCGGTAAACGGAATAAAAAGCTAAAGAAAAGTTATGCCAGACGTTTGTCTGATTATCACTAACAGCATAAGCAAGTAAAAAAGAAGAGAAAAAATTATGGTAATACATGTAAAATATTCAGAAAAATCGAAATTCATCATGAATTATGTAGAATTAAGTAAAGCAAGTCCACAAGATGAGAAAAATTATGGTAATACATGTAAACAATTCAGAAAAATCGAAATTCATCATAAATTCTGTAGAATTAAGTAAAGCAAGTCCAAAGATGAGAAAAATTATGGTAATACATGTAAACAATTCAGAAAAATCGAAATTCATCATAAATTCTGTAGAATTAAGTAAAGCAAGTCCACAAGATGAGAAAAATTATGGTAATACATGTAAACAATTCAGAAAAATCAAAATTAATCATGAATTCTGAAGAATTAAGTCAAGCAAGTCCACAAGATGAGAAAAATTATGGTAATAAATGTAAACAATTCAGAAAAATCAAAATTCAATATGAATTGATTCCAAATAGAAAAATCTCTATTCGTCAATCTCTCGATTACAATATTTTCCATAATCACCATTTTAATCAAGTAGAACAATAATACTCACACTTGTGATCAAATATAAAGAAAAAATGAAACTGTACCCTTCTCAAGCTTGTGTATGCATGCTGGGGAATTTCTCCATCATTCATCAGGTCTTCTCTTGTCCAACTCCTTGCAAAATAAGCTCTCACAGCATTTTTGGCTACAAGTTTCATATCTGAGAATTTCATGTTTTTTGCTTCAGAGGGAAAACGGAATCGGAAATTTGATGATGAAGAATGAACAACTCAATACTGCCCCTCCCCGTTACTCTCTGTTTGGGAATATTTACGGCTCTACCTTACAGTTATTGGCTGAGTTTTGGGGATATTGCAGGGGTAATTTCGTCCCAGATGAAAAGGAGAAGAATTCTCTAGGCTCAGTCGTTGGCGGGAAAGGGGAGATACCCGCTAATACCATATGTTGGGTGTATCAAAAATTCATAAACTTATCCAAATTATGTAAGCACTGAGATAGAATATTTGCAACTTCAAAACTCATCAATACTAATTAAAACAAAATAATTATCTGATTAAAATCTTATATCAATTAATGAAAAAAAAAACTATCATTTAACTATTATATCTCTATCCCAAATCCCCTAATAAGACTATGGAGCACATATTATCCTCACCCCCCTCCCCTCCCCCCAAAAAAAATGTTCATAATAGCACAGTAAGATCAGTGATCCGCTACATTAATACCATGAAACAAGTGTTTAGAACATACATTTATACAACAAACAATCATATGCATAAGAATATATTATGTCTTTTAAATAAATTGGATATCCAACTTATTTAACATGAATTAAAAAAAATTAAATTTATATTACTCGTTTAAAAATGAATAATTAAATGAATAAAAGACACTCATATATAAAAGAAACAACTGTGGCTTTAATTTTTTTTTAAGGGTATGTGATCCTCTTGGGATGGGGAAGGGTTGTATAAAGGGAAAAAATTATTTTTTGAAAAACAATTTTTTAGGGAAGGGGGGTTGGTGGTAGTGGTGGTGTGGTGTATATGTGTTTTTTTTGGAGAGGGGGGGGGGGCGGGGAAGAGGGTGGTCGAAGTAGTAAAAAATAAAGTTATTCAAAAAAAAATGCTAATTTAAATGTTGACACATTGGTGTTTGGGTTGGGGTGAGAGGTGAAGAGTAGGTAATAGCTTTTGCTTTTGAAACTTTAAAGATAAACCCTATAATAATATGGATATTCATATTATTCATTGTGTAATTCGTTTTTACCCTTTTAAAATATGATTTGAGTCGAATATTTTGTTATTTTTTTATTTAACTCATTTTCGATAAATTCATATTTGATTCGATGCTCATTTGTCACTCCTAGTTGCGATAGCGATTTCCTCTAATCTATTGGTTTCGATCAACTCATATTTTCAAGTTTCATGTGCTGCTCCCTTGGGTGCCGTTGAAATCGAGAGCATGAGAAGATCTTTGCTTGAAGCGTTAGTTTTTGGTGAAATTTGTTGAACAAGTGTTCTTCTCTAACTTTATTAGCAATAATAATATATGTAAGTTCTAATTTGATTGTTTACTTTTCAACTCGAGTATACCCATATTGTAAAGATAATCGACATGTATTTTAGTTGTGTTTGACAAACAAATCATTCGAAAATGAACTAGGTAACAAGTCATTTGTGTATTTGCTAAAAATACGTTTTCCTACTAAAACAATTGAAATGTTTTAAAAGGAGTATTTGGTTGAGCAAAAGTGCTTATCACCAAGGAATATAACATTCAAAGGCCAAAGCACTTAGCTTCGGACTAACGAATTTCAAATTCAATCAGTAAAATGTAGCCACAAAGGAATATTTTTCATGATTTACAGTTCCCCATCTGCAATATACTCTATTTATTCTACAGTTCCAAGTGTATCAGCATTAGTTCTGAGATTCTGTCTGTGTTGCTCAATTTATGCACGCAGGCATAGTCTTGCAGTATGGACCAATATACCTGGTAAACGGAAGAAGATGGAGAGTGTGCGATTGACAAAGTTAATTTCTCCAAAGTGAGCATCATACAATATCTCTTGGCTATATACCACAATGTACCCCATGAACAATGCAAACACAATGCATACCTATCACACAAGCATTACTCATTATCAAGACAGTCATATTATTCATTCATTAGACACAAGTAATGATTTATTGGGTGTGTGTGAGCAGATTGTATGCATACAACTTCTTACCTTTAACATCCGATGAGCTGTATGGCTGTCAATGTATTCTGAATTACTAGCATTAAAGGTGGAGTAAAATAGAAGACAAGAATAGAACAGGCAGCCCTTGTAGATTGCACTCCTTTCCCTCGTATACGTGGATCCAACCCAGATAAATCCAATGCCAAGTGTTGGAGGTGCCAAAAGGCGGAAAACAAGCCTGTAGAGCAAGTAAGGAATGCTTTCTGAAGTTAGATATTTTTCAAAGTATCAAAATATTCTTCAAAGAAGGAACACAGAACAACAAGAAATAATCAACTACACATACAGAAGGAGCAAATTAACTGCTATTGAATTCATAAAGATGTAATACAATGTAGAAATTGAAAGAGCAAGCAAATGTCTTTGTCATATTAGAAATGACTTCAGGAAATCAGTGGAAAATTGTGCACTCTTCATAATTTCGAGCACTCTTCAGGAAATGAGTGGAAAATGTTTCTCAGTTTCACTCATTTATGAGCACTCTTCGGAACTCCTTCACATATACTGCTGGCTAAGAATGCACATAATGGTGAGATAGAATTTTCTAACTGTAACATCCCCTAAATCCATGAAAGATACAAGTAATTACAGGGTATTGGAATCTGTAGTACAAGTCATCAGTTTACAAATCCAAAAACAATAGCTCACAACCTAACAACAGACCAACATCCCAACACCCAATGCTCGTATTGCTCAATATTTCTCATTCATATGCTAAGTATAATCATGACATTCATCTACTGCAAGAATGTTCTCACAAGTCCTTATGAAAGAATTTCCAGAGTAGTTTCTAATTATTAAAAATAAAGTAATCACTAGTATATATGCCAATCAGCATCAAGCCTTTCTCTGTACACAATTGAAGACTGCAAAAATCAGGTTTCTGATAATATGATATGACAAGAAAGCAGTAAAAGGCAACCATACAGAACATTAACAACAAAAAATCTGCACAATGTTTGCCATCTTTCTAGTCTTACTCTTGATCTATTTCAAAGAAATATTTGGTAAAAATGCCAATAGAAGCACCGATGGAAAAGGCAGCAATCATCAAGAGTAAGACCCTTGTCCTCTGCATAGACAGAAAGTTTGCGATATAAGAAGCGACGTCAATAATAAATCAACAACTTGGAACAAAATTTACAAGACAAAGATCACGTACCACACTCGAGGGTGATGTTAAGTAAAGACAGAGTAAACTTGCTACAGAAGAAAGGACTGTGAACCGCCCTCCCGCTTCCCAGATCCAGTGCAAGTAGGATCCAAAAGTAAAGCTCCACATGGCAAAGAAGAGAGTAAGATATACCTATATTTCAGCAAACTAATCAATAACAGGAAAAAAGGGGAATCTAATACTTGAAGCAGAACTGAAAATGCATCTTCTCCAGCTAACTAGGTTTTGCAAAGAAAGGAAAGACCAAACACAAGATGCTGAAACCAGAAATTGCATGAACCAATTAATCCCTCCGTCCAAAATTATATGAAACGAATTCATTTTGGGAAGCTTGAATGTAATTTCATCCAAACTAATCAAAAACAACTTTCAGTCCCAAACTTTACTCAAAATGCTAGAGGAAGTTACAAGTTATTCTAATCGTTTTGTGTGATTATAACTAACAGCATAAGCAAGTACAAAAGAAGAGAAAAAAAATTACGGTAATACATGTAAAATATTCAGGAAAATCGAAATTCATCATGAATCCTGAAGAATTAAGTAAAGCAAGTAAAGAAGATGAGAAAATTACGGTAATTCACGTAAAATATTCAGAAAAATCGAAATTCATCATGAACCCTGAAGAATTAAGTAAAGAAGTATAAACGATGAGAAAAAAATAACGGTAATACATGTAAACTATTCAGAAAAATGGAAATTCATAATGAATCGATTCCAAGTAGATCTCCTGATACAGCTACCGGTAACGAGATTACAGGATAGATATCTCTCGATTACAATATTTTTCATAATCAACATTTTAATGAAAACGTAAGAATGAATGTACCCTCTTCAAGCTTGCATAAGCGTGCTGGGTCATTTCTCCAGTATTCATCAGGTCTTCTCTTGTCCAATTCCTTACGAAGTAAGCTCTCACAGCATTCATGGCCTGGAGTTTCATATCTGAGAACTTCATGTTTTTTGCTTCAGAGGAAAAAACGAAATCGGAAATTTGATGAAGAAGAATGAAGAACGTGAGCTGTATTTATAGTTCGTTATGCACTCAAGAGTTTGTTATTGGGGATATCACAGGGGTAATTTCGTCACAAAAGAAAAGGAGAAGAATCTTCTGAGTTCTGTGCTCAGTTGTTGGCGGGAAAGGGGAGAAGTCTGGGAATATAAAATTCTTTTAGGAATTTTTTGTTTCCTTTTCCCATTTTTATAATTAATCTCACTGTTTACTCAAAAAAATTGTTTACTGTCTATTTATAAAACACAAAATTTATACGGTATTTTATGTTATTCTTACTATAAATATATGTATATGTATATAATGAGTTTTTTTTAACTTCTCATAATAGATTGAGTCTTTTCTACTACAACATGATCTCATTATAAATTTGTTCTTTTACTTGGTTCAAGTATTCACAATTTTTCTTCTTTTCCACCTTCTTAAATTTTAGGTACTTACCATCCCTTATAATTTCAGAGAATTGATCAAGGAAGACTCCCCAATTTTATCTAAATAAAATGGCCAAATACATGAGCAGATCTCTAAACTTGTTGGATTTTTTCCCTCAGGTATCTCAACTACGTCATTTTCCTATTGAATCATTGAACCCCATAATTTGTTCCGTTTAAACAAACACCGTTATCTGATGTGGAACCAGATTTGTGAGGGGTATTGATAGAGGATACATATATTGTTCCACTAATCATTAGTCCAATTAATAGTGAAAATGTTTGAGAATAATTGTGTTTTCCTTAAGTCATTTGAACACATTAGAAAACAAATGAGACTAGCACAGTGTGTCTTCATTATTTCAATCAAAATTATTACAATTCGGACACAATTGAAGACATTTTGCAATAGAAAAGCTGATCAAAATCAACCAACGGTGTTTTAAAGAAACAAATTATGGGTTGAAAAATGACGTAATTGAGGTACCTGAGAAAAAAAATCTAACAAATTTAAAAATTTGTTTATGTAACCTACTAGAACCAAACAAATCAAACAAGTAATAAAGTCTCCTAAACCATAGGAAACTATCCTTTTCCAAAAAGGCAACAAACTTTTTTTAAAATTCTTCGATCCAACAACTGGCAGTTAACCATAAACTGAATTAAAGGTGAAGAAAAAAATCACTTTTATTTCTTACACAACAATATAATATGCACACAAAAATAGCTTCTCATGAACATTAATTAAAAAAAGGGGGACAAAAATAACAACTCAAATAAAATTAAAATTTTAAAATAAAAGCACTGCCTCTCGCCTAGCACATGAACACAAACAAAGCTCCCAATACAACTGAAACTCCGATCACAAATTTGTTCATGCTTCCAAATACTCCGGCTGCTCCGTTAGGCGTAGTTGGGGTTGATTTCGCGGGTGTATTGTCAACGTTAGGGGTACTGGGTGTGGCGGGTGAATCAGAAGGAGTTGATGGAGTTGACGGAGTTGATGGAGTTGATGGAGTAGAGCTATCTAAGACATTGATGGACAATTTCATGCCAGATTGACAATGACCAAAAGTAGGACAAGTGAAGTACATTGGACCAGATTTGGAAAGTTTGATTGTGGTTTTTCCATCGCTGTATGACTCAATGGCGTTTCCAGTGTTGCAGTTTTCGTAGTCATCTTTGCTTATCACATCCACTCCGTGGCTTCCACCATAGTTGAACTCTGATCATTCATCATAAAAATTCAAAATTTTAGTATAATTGAGAAATCATACTTTGTTCATGAGTACTGTAAACAACTTCTTATCAATTTTGTGAAGCTACTCAACACGAATCCATATATTGATTGAGGCTCGAATATCTCGAACGATTATAGTAGTAGTACTAAGAAAAAAGTTAATATTGCATCATCGTGCACCATTTAGTTGACAGTTACATAAACACAGAGTACTCTGTTTTTATTTTCACTCATAAACTCTGTTTCTCAAATTCTTGGACTAATATAAAGAAATACGATGTGATGAGCTAGATTCTTAACTCAAAAGTTTTTTTAAAAGAAAATAAATTTGGGGATGGGGAAGGGAAACAGAGAGGGGATTACAATGTGGGAAATCGAACCTGATCAATAAGGTGGAATTCAGATAGACAACGAGCTAAGCTACTAAGTATTAGGAGTGAAATATATTTCGATATGGAACAGTTTATCTCTTAGATAAAGCTACCTAACACAAATTCAAATTAATTGAGTCGCGTATTTAAATGCCAAAAGATGAAAGTTGAAAGACTAACCAAGGGTGTCACCAACGGTGAAGGTTTCAGCAGCAGCCCAAGTGGTGTAATCACCTGATTGGGTCCACCCGCCGCTGCCTCCGACGACATGGTTGGCAGCAAAAGCCACCGGAGAAGCAACAAGAAGAAAGAGGAGAGTTGCTACTGCTGAAACTGCCATTACTTAAATTTGATTAAAGTTGAGCAAAAAAATTGTTTGTTGAAGAGTAAAGAGAGAAGAAAGAAAGCAAGTTGCACACATTTTGCAAATGATGTGTGCCTTATATAGATAAGGGTGCTTATGAAAAATTTGAATGTCATGTAGTTTCAACGATAGAAATAAAGAAAAAATTTAAAAAATATATAAATTCCAGAGTTTAATTGCTTGTGAAGATAATATTAAAACATGGGATTTGGTGCAGTTCTACTTTCCCATGTCTACCTAATACTATTGGCAAATCATATTTGAATGGTATAAAATGTCGTGGCATTACTCCTTGGAACTTAAGTTTTGCTATTACTTGGCTTTCTCGCTAAAAAAAAAAAAAGGCTTTGTTTTAATCAACAATTTGACTCACAAAAACATAGTGTTAAAAAGCGCGGCTCAAACATATTTAATGGCCTAAATACATATTATTTAAGTTCTGAGATAAAAAGTTATTAATAACTTTATTATAAACGGTTTATTCTAATAATTTTTATTCCATTGATAATATAATCAATCTATTTAATCTTTCTTCATACATAGTACAGTTGTGTCAAACTTTTTCTAATAATTCTTTACTTGTATATAGAAAGTTTACTTCTTTTAGAGTATTATTCAATATTATTATTGTTAAGAGAATTGGGTCCCTCAAATATCAAGGCCTAAGACACCTTCCTTTATTTTTAATTTTCAGAGGCGGAGTCAAAATTTTGCTTTATCAGTTCTAAACTTTATAACAATTACTTTAAGTGTTAATAATTGATTTTAAATTTTATATTTATATATATTAATAAACTCAGGCTTTTAGCTCCGCCCTTATTTATTTTAACTCTTTAGAGCCGGCACTGCAATACAGTATGAGAAAGTATATTTTTGTTCCAAGGATATGTTTTAAGTTGTTCTCAAAATTTCAACTAAAGGCAATCAAATAGCCAAGTATTATATGTAAAATAAATAAATTAGAGGCGTATTACATGTGAATATTTATACACGACTTTTCATGTTTTTTTGAGAATATATTTGATCGGCGCCACCCAATATGTAATAAATTTATCATATCATGCAAAGAGTAGGTTTTGGCAAAACATATAAAATACTTTGATTTGAGAAAATGATTGTCACGTATTTGACTTTGGACCAATATTGTTCAGTGTAATTAATTTTATTGTGTTGGTTGGGTTTGTTACTTGTTAGGCCATGCATTAGTTGTCCTCTAATCCAATCACAGATAATTGCAGTTTTAATTAGTCAAACGAACAGTTTTTTCTTGTTCTAATTATTATTACGAGAGAGAAGTATTATAAACGCTTTTAAATTTGACGTAATTTATTATTTTTGTTATTGAACTATTAAACGTATTAAAATACCCTCTTGATTAACTAAATTTAAATACACTCCTGATCTGTCAAATGATATATCAAGTGATCTCAAATTCTTGTGTGAGCGTGAAGCTCTTGATAAACTTTATTTATGTTACAAGATTGAGGGTGTATTTAAGTCCAGTTAATCAGATAAATGGATGTTTTTATAACTGTCAATAGTTCATAAATGAACTAATAATGTGTTTTCAATAATTCTCTTTACTTTTAATTTTTGTACTATTTTATTGGTTAGTGGCAATTAAACGAAACACACGACGAATAATACCTTATTGGGTCAGCTTCCAGAATATGGGTTAGTTATAAACTTTCGTGTATAAGTTGTGCTCAATATAAAATAGTAATTAATTACTAACCCTTCAACTAATGTTAGCTAGCTTGTGCTAAATATATCTTGAAATATTAACTCTAGAAAAAAAAATTAAAAATGTGTAGAAGTTGTTAAGTTCTTTAATATTTTTTTGACTTTATCAATCGTTGAAGAAAAACGACTGAATATAAATCTTATATTATAATTTCCTAGGGGAATACCATAATTATTAGAAATGAGTTGATAGGTGTAGTTTATTTTTTAAATTATAGATATCCCAGTAGAACATGGAAATGAGTTGGTTTTGATTTGAATCTTTTCTGATTGATAATTTGGAATTGTTTATTGATTGATCATGAAGAAAAAAATTGTAACACCCAAAGTTCAATGGAATAAATGTAGAAGAATACAAATATAAAGAGTGTAAATTTCTTAAAAGAAATAAATGATTAGGCCTAAAATGATGTGAGAATTGTAAAATTATGCTTTCCTATTTCATTAATTAACAATATGAGGTTTTTTCATTTTTCTACACTCCATTTCATGTCTATGGCTAAATATTTGATTTGTGAGTAAATTTAATTTGAGAATCTAGCATTGCTCGGATAGCTCATGCTTTAATACCATATAAAATTAGTCTTTGTTCCTAATTCACACTCTAAATAATACTCTTATATTACTTTTAAGTAATTTTGAATATATTTTCAAAAAAATAAAATTAAATTAAAAAATAAATTATATCTAAATTTACAATAAAAAAAATTTGTTTGACTATCAGACTTTATCACCTAAATTAAAAGAGGGGGAGTACAACTTTGAGAACAACGTGATGCCAAGTCTTTTGATCAGTGTCATAAAATACTAACAGGCATTTCATACTTTATAAAATAAATAAAATAACAAATGGTGTTTTTATTTCTATTTCATTTTGTATCAAAATAATTGGCGTTTTATATAATTTAAAAAGAAATATTTCCTTGCAAAATTACCATTATTTTAACATATTGGTTTTATATAATTAAAGAATTACATTTTTCTTCGAGTCATTAAATCAAAAATAAAACAGTAAAACACTTTTTATTTTTTTAGAAGTGAGTAATATTTCAGTGGGTGTGTCCAAGCTAAAAATAGAACTACTTATTTTAAAATAAAAGGAGTATTATTAATACTATACAAAATTCTATGACATTTTCTTCACCACGATACATAAATGAATCTTGCTCAAAGATTTCCTGAATACATGTATATGTTTTATGGCAAGCACATAGAAACTATTTTATTGGATTGGATATTTTCAAAATTATAAATTGGCAAAAATAATAATACTTTTTTGGAAAAATAAATTGTATATTGCTTACAGCATGATTGACAAATAGAGTATTAGTAAGAAAAGATTTTGATATAAGTAATCAAATATTGACCTTAAATATTTATTAGGTCTCCACCCATACAAAATATATGGACCATCAACATTATAATTGATGGAGACTTTATTTATATTTACAAGTAACTCCACAAAAAACATATTGACGTCAAGCCAAGAGACGAGAGGGAGTTGCTCAGGTGGTAACCACCCTTCACTTTCAACTCGAAAGTTACGAGTTCGAATCACCAAGGAAGCAAAACGGGTGGGAGCTAGCTGCTAGGGAAAGGGAAAACTTATAAAAAAGGTCAAGCCAAGAATTTTAGGAAATTATGTCAAATGATCTTTAAGATAGATGGTCTTGAACTCGAAAAAATAATTTTAAAAAGAACAAAAATGTTACATATAGTACGTACGAAAAAAAACTTTTTAATATACTCCTACGAGCAATAACATTTTAAATTTCCAACAAATTGTATTCGTTTTCGTTACAAAGGTAATTAAAACATTTATTAATGTTTGATATTGCTATTTGATAATGTAACAAAACTCTTTTATATATCACTTTTATGAAAATAAAATTGTGTAATATGATTAGAGATTGTACTTTTAAGAATCATGTTACTATTTCTCTCAAAATACATTGAAGTTGACTAATTTATTACTCCATTCCTTTTAATTTATTTGATATCATTTGATGAATATAAAAAAATAATTTTTAACTTATATTTACAACCTAATCAATTGTCTAGTTAAATTTATCTAAAATCTAGTATTTGTTAAAAGAGAAGAAGTTGTAAAATATATAAATTTGTTAATATCAAAAAAAAAATTGACTTATAAAAATATATTAATCACATAGAACAACTAAATACGAAACAGTTTGAAAATATATGGAAAATGACATTCGTAGTCGTACCATTCGGAGACACAATTAGATATACTGATATAATTTTTTAATTAATATTTAAATTGTTGAATTAAAGATAATACATAATTTCAAACGTATATATACTCTTGTGTGTGTATTATTCAAAATGTTGAGTGGCTCATGTAATAGAGATGATGACTGATATTCAAAATGTTGAATGGCTTGGCTTTGTGTATTATTCAAAAGGTTCAATGGAAACTATTTCTACATAAAGAACAAAAGAATTGTATATTCTTAGTCATAACTTTTTTCACGTCCTTTTGTACATATTGGTGGAGATATTTAAAGCGAAAGATATTTCTAGAAATTATGTCATACTTCTTATTTTTATTAATACACCTATCTTTACTTATTTTACCATTTGTACACGCCCTACTAAACGAACATAATTTCTATAAATACAACTTTA